TAAAACCCTACTACTGGTGGCCGACGATGAAGCTCGATGTTGCGAAGTATGTGGCCGAGTGTGTAACATGTGCTAGAGTTAAGGCACAACATCAGAAAACATATGGGAGTTTAGAACCTTTACCTGTACTCGATTGATCAACTGCTCCTTCCTTTGCTCGGAGCCTTCAGACTTGGTTGTCTTGGTAATGATCTTATGAAGCACACTGGTGTGAACCAAGTGCTTTTTCCTAGATCTGAAGAGATCTTTCTTCTCTGAATTCTTCTTCTTGTAGATGTAACCAAGTTCTGGTTCGGAGACTCGACCTTCATCTAACAAGTCAATTTGTTCCAGTGGGGTGTCAAATGGAGCAAGGATTTTGTCAGTTTTGAACAGTGGAGCAAATTCTACATCTAATCGTCCGAGCTCAGCGATGTAATCTTTCAGAAGACTTAATGTTGCATTGAAGGCTCCAATGCTTGTTTCACTATCCTGTTTATCTTTAAGATGAGCCGCAACCATGAGTACATTGTTCGGATTGATGGTTGGGAAATTGGCATCCAGAATCACAAGTGTTTTTTGAGAGTTTTGAAATATGTAGTAGTTGTGGACGAGACAATCTTGTCCGAATTTTGCTTAACAATTTCATTCCACGTCCACTGATTTGAGTGATCCTTCGTTTTAACCATACCTGTATTTCTGGAAGTGCATTGGTGGCATAGAAAGTGTTCAACCTTTCTCTTTCTGTTTGTACGATTATTTCAGCATCATCATTCGGATGGAGCAAAGAGAACTTGATGTAGAATCATGCATATGGAGATCTAGGCAGATCAAGTTGATCGGCGTCCGAGATTGCAACATCATAGCTCATACAAGGCACCATATGATGCTCATGTAGGATCCCATCAGGACAGAGAGGAGAAGTTTTGAGGAAAGGGTTAGGTGAAACCTTTTGAGTTTGTAATATGAGGCTTTCTTCCATAACTTGATTGATCTGATCTTGTGGACAACCCTCAGATTTTTTCGACGAATTCATCGGGCTCATAAGCTCAAATGAAATTCCCTTTGCTTTTTTTCTTTAATAGGCGTTTCGGGTGTGACTTGAGTGAATGTATGAGCTGCAGGAGTCACAAGTACCTCATAAATTGGTAGGACCAATTCCGGTGCCGGGAGACCGTCATCTTTTCGGATTGGGGAACCCTAATCAATTTCAACAATTTTAGGATAGGTAATCGAAAGGGATTTATGTTGAGTAGCTCGAAAAGCGTCAGCAGTCAGCTTCGTTTTTAACTTTGCCATTTCCCTGCTACGTTTGAACGCGTCGACAAGATTTGATGGCCAGACAACATAGGACCATTTTTGCTTCTCTTCGTCCGAAATGATTCTTTCAAAATAGGGTTGCTTTCTTTCGGATGGTAGGGAAAGCACTGCTTTCACCATTCACTTGTCATTGTCACTTTCTCCTTCCATTCCTTCATTCATTTCATCATCTTTCTTTTCACCTGTCACCATGAGTTCATCTTCATCTGTTGACTCATATCAGAGTTGAAATTTCGAGCTTGGTTTCCATACAATCATCATTTATCTTCCTCTTGCATGGGAAGGCCTTGCTTCCGATGCAAGCAATGCATCAAACTTTAGATCACCAATCTTTTCAAACACCCGTTGGAAGCTCAGATTGATTTGATTGGAGAGCTTGTCATAAGCATCAGTAGTCAGAGTCTGAGCCTTGAGAGTGTCAAGAGTTTCTTCCATGATCAGAAGGACTTCATCGAACTTGTAATTCAAAATTTCAGAATGTTGATTAGAACTTTGTCAATGTTCACAAAGTGTTGAGCAGACCGAATCACCTTGATTAGAACTTGTTGCATTATCATGTTCAACCCATCTTTATGTTGGATCTCCTTCTCCAATCTTTGAATTTGTTGTTCATGTTGGACATGAGTTTGCTTGATGAGTTCATTGGTAGCATAAATCATATCGTCATGAATCTTGAGCATAGTAGAGGTGGTGGAAAGGTGGCGATTGAGGTTGTATTTGTATCTCTACTCAACTTCTTCTAAAGTATGCTTCAATCGAAGAGAGATGAGTTGATCCAGTTGGTTTGATTTGTCAAGTTCTGAGGGAGCAACAAACTTGGTCTCGGGGAGAGAATTGATCACCAAATCGATTTTTGAGTTGAGTGCTCCGACTTTGGTATTGACATTGTCAATTTTGGAATCAAATTGATCAACTTTTTCTTGAAGATCCAAAAGATCAAAAGGATCAGCAATTTGGTCTTCGGAGGATCCTATATCTAAGCTGGATCCTTCGGACTTCTCATCATCATCATCAATAGTGCCTTTAGCATCATCACCATCTTGATTTGTATCTTTACCACCGACTCCAAGATCCATTTCTTCCGAAGATGACTGAAAGTCAAGATCAATCTGTGGTTTGGAAGAAGAGGCTTGAAGAAATTGAAAGTTTGATCTGGGAGGAAGAAGGCTTGAAAATCAACTTGAGTGTTGGCAAACTAAATTTGTACATCAACATCGAAATAAAGTTTTGTGTGGAAAGAAAGAACATGAGAGGAAGATAGAGATCACCGATTTACGAATATTGTTGCTATCTTGTGGCAAAATGTTGTTGGACAGGATACTAAACATGATAATTAGGAATTTGTTAAGAGTGACGTTGATCATTGAAAAAATAAAGGAATGAAGATGTGGTCGTTTGAACATATCCATAGCAGCAACCATTTGTTACTATCAGGAGAGTTGAGAAGATCACAATCAAGGGTGCTAGGTGGATAGGTTTTTTGAGAAGGAAATGATAGGATATCTTGATGTTAGATTTGAAGGAATTAGCTCTTATCGATGAGATGAACTATAAGGCTCGACGGAGTAGGTTCGACACCCTCTTCGGAAACGTCTATGTGGCTCGACAAACACTAACAATGGGCTATCTCCTCAGTATGTCGAGGTCGGCATCTGGACTCGACGGGAAGATGTCGAGTCTCTCTCCACCTTCTCTTCTCCCCACCTTGCCTCTCTCTCTCACTCACACACACACACACACACTCTCTCTCTCTCTCTCACCTACACTCGACAACTACTCCCTTCTGGTGGCAAAAAGTAGTCCGACAACACCTGGTAGAGCTCGGTTATACTGTCACCACTCCCTTCAGTCTAATAAAAAAGAATTAATCCTTAGAATTAGAGTACCATAATAATATTGACCTAGTCTAGCCTGGTTCTAGCTTCATTTTCTTTAGACAATCTCCAACTCACTTCCATATTTTCCCCTAAAAATGGAGTAAAAAATGGGGTAAATAGTGTTTCATCTCTAATCCTACTCCATTTTTTTACCTCATTTTTACCCCCCAAAAGTATATTTCTAGTATATTCCATTATTTCAAATTATATAGATTGTCAAACACACTCATTCTACTAATTTGGTTTTAACAAATATATAATCTATATTTTTTTCATTACAATAATATTAAATAAATAATATTATATATATAGCACTTAATTATAAGCTTTTGTAAAATACGTTATCGTGTTTTAAAATTTCAATATGTATTTGAACTTTTATATGAATTTGATAAACAAAAAACAAGCTTTATATTTATAATTAATTAATATAATTTAATATATAACAAAATATTATAAATATTAAATATTACATTTAAATTATAATTAGCAGATAAAAATAAACTAGAAATATATAAATATATAAAAAGAGGGATTAAAACCAACAACTCAAAGTTCATTCCCATTTTGGGAGAAATGAATAGTATAACACCAAATATGGTGTTATACTATTCATTTGTCCCAAAATGGGGAAATAAATGAGGTAGGGTTGGCCAGAAATTGAGTAAAAAATGGGAAAAATAATGAAAAATGAAAATGGGTTGTAGATGCTCTTAGTAACCGGTATATGTTATGTTAATGCTCTTAGTAACCGGTATATGTTAATGGGTTGTAGATGCTCTTAGTAAGCGGTATATGTTAATGAAAAATGAAAATGGGTTATAGATGCTCTTAGTTACTCATGTTTCCTATTCTTTCAAAATGTGTTACTAGTATATGCTACTCACTTATTTCTATTATCTCATTTTAGTAACTGTGTATATGTTAATGTTTTTCTTGTTGACATTTACCCCTCTCCATATGCATATTTATTTCCTCTATCAGATCGTTCAATTTTCATCGGGCTAACGTTTTATATGCATAGATCTTTATTTATTTATATTTAATTATTTATATAGATTTATGTATTTATATTTTTCTCTAATTATTTATTTATTTATACCGGAGGTTTCTACGAAAAGAGTCTCCTTTATAGGAAGTGCTGCCGACCATCATACTTCACTTATCTTATTTACATGAGACCAAGATTCTACTGCTTTTCACTTTTATATTTTAATACTCATTACACACATCTTACACATGTCGATTACTAACAACCAGATATAGAATAGTTGTTAGAGATTAGAGTTACCTTGACAATATTTACTGTTTAATAAGACTGTTATAAAATTATAATAGAACAGTTAAAAGGAGTTGCCTCTTGACCCCTTCAATAAAAAAATATTATCAACTTATGTATCTCGTCACCTTCATTTATAATGCACTATGATGAATTATATTTTAAGGGGTGTGTGGCTTATCTTTTGAGAGGCTAAAAGTCCTTTTAGATAAAGATAACAGAGAAAAGATGTTTGGTAAAAGCTTCTTAAAGCTCCTTTTGAATTTTTCATAGAAGGAAAACTGACTTTTTGGAAAAGTCAGGAAACCTGTCTTTTTGTAACTTTTTCAAAAATCCTTTAGCGAGATAACCCAAAGACCCCTTATTATCGATTCTATGACACCATTCAAAATATGACTCAAATTAATGTAGTCGACTATTAATAAAAACTTTATACAATGCTAGCGATTTACAATTTCAAATTACGTATGCATATAATTTATAATTGCGAAACAACCAACAGCTGTTTCATTTTTGAAAATATAGTAAACGCCGTTAAATCATCGTTACGTCACCATACAACCGGACGTGAAGTCCATCGTCGGATAAGGTGATAATAAAGGGACATCGAATATACTGTTATCGTCCGGCGTCCAGTTAGTCGGCGATATGGTCGACCCAACCGCAGCATCCGCCTTATCACCGTCGCACTCCGCCGTCTCTGGTTCTACTTTCACATCTTTCGGACTTCCTCTCACTTGAGTCACTTCCACCATAGACTGTCCGGCAACGCTTTTAGGGCTATTACTCCTGATCATACAACCGGACGTGAAGTCCATGGTAGGATAAGATGATGATAATAATGGGACCTTTTCAAATGTTAAGGACCCAACCGCAGCATCAGCCTTATCACCACCGTACTTCGCCGTGTCTGGTTCTACTTTCACTTCTTTCCGACTTCCTCTCACTTCCACATCAGACTTTCCGGCAGCTCTTTTACGACTATTACTCGCCACCACCCTCGTCTCCGTTTCCGCCGCTTCCTCTGAATTTCCAATTTCGAGCGGGAAATTCAATATGGCTTTGTTGCCTCGAAGCTTAAACGCTGCTTTATCATACGCTTTTGCTGCATCTATGGCGGTGTCGTATGTCCCAAGCCAAACCCTAGTCCCTTTCTTGCTAGGATCCCTGATCTCCGCGGCAAACTTTCCCCACGGCCGTTGTCTTACTCCTCTGTAATGCTTCCTCTCCTCAAACTCCTTCTCCTTAACCACGACATCAGATTTCTCGATTGCAGGTGGAAACGATATATTCACAGAGGGTTTTCGTTGATTAAAACCGTTGTTGCTAAATTTTCCAGTTATATCCGATGAACTTGATTGAAGCATCGGTTCTTGTTCCACTCTGAATTCAAATTGGTGGCCGGAAACCGTTCGAGTGTGATCAATCACAGAGGACGTAGGAGAAGAAGAAGAAGAAGTAGAAGATGATGATGATGAGGTTAGAGGAAAAACAACGGTGGATTTGTAGGTGATATTATTGCAGTGATGATCGGAGAGTATGGAATATTCCTGTAGGAAAGAGGAATCGTCAATAAGCAGGTGTTGGCGGATGAGATCTAGAGCTGAAAATTCCTCGAGTGATGCCATTGTTGAACTCTGTGTGTGTGAGAGAGAGAGAGAGAGAGAGAGAGAGAGAGAGAGAGGCGTGGAAATGGGGAAGAGAGGAGGAATGGATATATACAAAGAGTCAACGACAAAGGAATAACAGATACAACAAATTTCAGACTAATTCATTTTATGCAAAAATGATCATTGCTTATTTGATTTATGTGTTTTACAATATTTAACTCATACGTTTACGTTTGATGCAAGATCTAATCATCTAATCAATTAGTGATGGCTTTTTAAAAACACAAATACATAAATAAATATATATAATTGACACCGATTTTTTTGTCCATTTTACGTTTTTATATAATTACCAAATAAGAATACAAAAACAAAGATAAAGACAAACGACAACTTATTGATACAATAACTAATATTTATTTGTCCTTTTGTGTTGTCAAGTTGGAACTGCAATTATTTTTCCCTGTTTCTTTTAAGATTGATGGGGACCAATCTTTTTGGATTTAAGTTTAATTTTAATATTATTACTAGAAAGGTTACCCCGCTATGCGGGGCCAGAAGCTTTCAATGTTGTTTCCGAATTGATAAATATGACAGACATAGAAAGTGCAAGGATGAAAAGTTCGGGCTTTGCCCGGGACAAAAAATGTAAAAGTTTTGACTGCAAGGACCAGAAGTGTGAAAATGGCTAAAGAATTAAAGGGGTAGGAATTAGCAACTTTTTAGAAAAGGGATCAAAGTTGTCAAACCGTTACAGTTTTGTGGCCAAACTTTAAATATTAAAAGGTTCCAAAAAAGTGTAAAAATATTGATTGCAAGGACCAAAAGTGTCAAAATGGGTAAAGAATAATGAGCAAAGTTGCCAAAAAAACATCCAAATTTAGTATTCCTAACTTCCAACAATAATACATGGACCAATTCTGCCAAAAAATGGACTTTAAATATTAAAAGGTTCCAAAAAAGTGTAAAAATATTGATTGCATGGACCAAAAGTGTCAAAATGGGTAAAGAATAATGAGCAAAGTTGCCTAAAAACATCCTAATTTAGTATTCCTAACTTCCAACAATAATACAGGGACCAATTCTGCCAAAAAAATGGGAAGTTGAATGAAACACAAACAAAAGGACATGAATAAATTAATTAAAGAAGTACAGGGACCGGATATGTAAATCAAGGAACCAAACCTGGAGAAAGTATGTCAAATTTACTATTCATTTCTTCCGCAACTTTAATATATATATATAATAATTAGGATACAATAACGAATAACCTACATTCCTACCGGCTACAAAACCAAATTTACTTGGGCTAAAACTCAATTTCAATCCGATTCCCAGTGGGCCTAGTTTTATGCAACATATTCAACGCATCTTCTCATACCAAAAAGAAGGCACATCCATATAAAAAATTTAAAGACACAAAGCCTATATGTAGCATGTATGTTTAATGTTCCTATCCTATGTCCCTTCCCAAAAAAACTAACAATTTATTGTTGCGCCTTACCCTGAAAATACTTAAGAAATGATGTATACATATTAGAAATTGAACTTTTAGGAATTATATATATATATATATATATATATATATATATATATATATATATATAAAAGAAATAAAGCAAAGGTTTATATTGTTTATATAAATTTTGGATTTTAATTAATAAATAAAATAAGATAAAAGAATTATTAATAAAAATAGCAGACAATATATTGCGGACATAGTGGTCCTTAGTGGGCTCTTCCCGTTGACTTTAAAAGAAGAAAATAAGTAGGGGTGAGCAAAGGCGGGTACCCGGCCAAATTGTTTGGAACCGAAACCGGAACCGGAACCGTTGGTTTCTAAAATATTTGAACCGGAACCGCCTACACCGGTTCTTAAGATTTCAGAACCGGTCCCGGAACCGGTTGGAAGCGGTTCCAATACCGGGTACCCGGTTAAAAAAAAATTATCACTAAAAGTCATGTTTTCAATACCCAGCTAAAAACTAGTTTAAATTTTTTAGCCAAAATATGTTTGCACCCCTTCTGTTTTAGATAGAAGATTTATAAACGGCTAATGTCATAAAAACCCTTAAGTTTTCAGGATTTTGTCGGTTTTACCCAAAGTTGAATTTTATGTTCATTTATTATTATTATTATTATTATTATTATTATTATTCTTATTTATATTATTATTTTCACTATTATTATTATTATTATTATTATTTTCACTATTATTATTATTATTATTATTATTATTATTATTATTATTATATGAACTTATACATATATTTTGAAATACGTTTTTAAATGTGTAAATATATTTTTAAAGATAAAAAATACGATTTAAAATTATAAATAATTTTTAAGGGTATTTATACATTTAAAAAGCGTATTTATATATTTAAATAGTATCTAAACACGTTTTTAAATGTGTAAATATATTTTTAAAGATAAAAATACGATTTAAAAATATAAATAATTTTTTAAAGGTATTTATATATTTAAAAAGCGTATTTATATATTTAGATAGTATGTAAACATTTAACAACATATTTATACATTTGAAAGTGTATGTATACATTTAAATACATATTTAAGCGTATAAACCTTTTATACATCTAAACATGTATGAAGACGTTTTTATATGTATTTAAACATATAAAAATGTTTTTATACATATAATAATGTACTAACTATTTATATGGTACATATGTACAAATATTTATATGATACATTTAACAACGTATATATACATATGAATTTCTAAAAATGTCTTTATACATAATGTGTACATATGAATACATATAAAACGCCTTGATATATTTTTATATGTATAAAAAACTTTTGTATATGCTTAAATACATATAAAAACGTTTTGATACATGTTTATACATATAAAAGGCTTTTATACATTTAAATATGCATTTAAAGGTATACATACGCTTTCAAATATATAATAATAATAATAATAATAATAATAGTAATAGTGAATATAATAATAATAAAAATAAGAATAATAATAATAATTATTATTATTTAAAAGTTCCTGTAAAATAAACATTAAATAGATTAAGCTGAATATTTAAACACAAAGTCCTTTCCAGCTTAGCGGTTAAGGCTCTGTTGTTGTTGGTAGTGTGAGACCTGGGTTCGAGTCCCTCAACTCCCATTTCGATTGTTTTTTCGCTTTCTGACACAGGTCCGCATTGCTGACGTGACGTGGCATCCGACTCAGCAAAAGTGTCGTCCAATCATCAAAGGGTGACCGGATTCTGAAAGTAAAAACCGGCCAGGTTCTAAAAAAGAACAAATTAATGTAAGTTTAAGGCATAAATGAACATAAAATTCAACTTTGGGTAAAACCGCCTGAAAACTTAAGGGTTTTCATGACATTAGCCCATTTATAAATGGGCCAATTATAAAGACCCTTAGCAGCCCACAAAGGTAGGCACACCAACGAATGCTCTCAAGGCTTTTCCCTCTTGATTCCTTTACAAGCTTCCCTTCTTATAAGGACAAATTAATGTAAGTTTAAGGCATAAATGAACATAAAATTCAACTTTGGATAAAACCGACAAAATACTGAAAACTTAAGGGTTTTCATGACATTAGCCCATTTATAAATGGGCCAATTATAAAGACCCTTAGCAGCCCACAAAGGTAGGCACACCAACGAATGCTCTCAAGGCTTTTCCCTCTTGATTCCTTTACAAGCTTCCCTTCTTATAAGGAGTAACATTTTCTCTTTTTACTTCCCACCACCAATGTGGGATAGGAAAATTGAAACCAACTTCCCTTTATTCCTTCGACGCTTTATTTTTTTCTCATTCACATTTTGATTTATCGTATACAATTTGCTTAAATCTATTAGGGGTGACAATTGTTGAAACGACACGACAAAAATACACGACACGAAACGAAATTGGGACGAAACTGAAATTCGAATTCGTGTTCGTGTCGTGTTCGTGTTAAGTGTAAAAAACACGATGTCGTGTCGTGTCGTGTTCGTGTTTAAAATTCGACACGAAATTGACACGATTAACATTTATTTGTCATGTTTTTCGTGTTATGTATGATTAAATATTAATTAAATAAACTAATTTTTTTAGTATGTCATCTTTGTCGTGTCGTGTCGTGTTTGTCGTTTTTTAATCGGTTCGTTTTCGTGTTAGTTAAAAAAAACACGACATCGTGTCGTGTCGTGTTCGTGTTACATAAAACATTGTCGTGTCGTGTCGTGTCAGACAATAACACGACACGATGGCCCGATTTATCACCCCTAAAATCTATTATTGACAACTTACTACTATTTTTTTTGTAGTATCAACTGTGTTTCATATAAACAAACATAAGTAGTAACATATGCAATATTTTATATATTTGGTAGGTAAGAAAACTTAGTGATTCATGTCCTCGATGTGCATATTTAAATATTGAGGTTTGTATAATTAGATTACAAGAAATTCATTTTAATATAAAAATTCCATTATGAAACTTCATTTTAAACACTCAAATTCCAACGAAACCATGTTATTTGATCTGAAGTTTTCAAGTGTAGTCTATAACTTATTATTATTATTATTATTATTATTATTAGTATATATATATATATATATATATATATATATATATATATATATATATATATATATATATATATATATAAACACGCATACAACCGGTTCCGAAAAAATGAGAACCGGAACCGGAACCGCTTAAGGCGGTTCCAAAACTTTAGGAACCGGAACCGGAACCGCCTTAGGCGGTTCCGGTTCCGAAACCGCCTTAGGCGGTTCCGGTTCCGAAACCGGCGGTTTCGAGGCGGTTCCGGTTCCGAAAGCGGGTACCCTGTTCTGATACTCACCCCTAAAAATAAGGGTTGATTTGTCTGTGTGTGCATGACAGAAAGATGTACATAAGGTCATGATGTGTACAAATTTGGTAGGAACGGTGAGAAGAAATAGTATCATGGATTTACGGTAGTGCGGTGAACACTGCATCCTATGGTGTGCGGTGGATCCTCCTGTAGGACTTCT